GTCAATATTTTGTATTTTTAAGATCAAAGCTGGATCAGATTTATTACATACTATAGAATTTCTTTATTTCGTCGATACTTTTTGCGAATTGCTTGATATCTAGTTTTTCAGCAAAGTTTTCAAGTTCCTGATCTTCAACTTTATCATTGCTTGTACTTTCAGCATACGTTTCAGATTTAGATCCTATACACATCTTGTCGACCGAAGATACTGTATTAACGGATGTATCCTTGAGTGTTTCATTTAAGTTTAGTTTGTTAAACTCTACTTCGAGATTAAGATTCGGGTTGGACATGTTAAGTTCTGTGGGTGAGTTGTCATAGTTTACATAGATAGTTGACACACGTTAACACGTTATTTCTGAAATGCAAAATAAGTTCAGAATGGGATAAAAAAAAATTTACCTGAAAGTACCTTCGTTTTAGTTTTAAATATTTTTTGCAACCTTAGTTTGATTTTTGTCGAGATCATACAAGTTTTATCGCGTTTTGAAAGAGACGTTAGCTAATAAAACTTATATGATTAGTAATTCGTCAAAATTATGTCATTAGTCACAAACTTTTTTACCCACGTGATTTTCTAGCCGGTGACGAATATTATGTGATAAATAAGATTTCACAAACTCCAAAAAACTTAAGTTCCCTGAAAGTAAAAAACGAAAACACAGCAGGTGCGACACCGGTAACAAATATTTTATGATCACGTGACAGTGAATTTTTTATGGCGATGCTGGGTAGTTGTCATTAGTCATAACTATCACATTCTTTTGAAATATACTGATAATTTGTTTGAATTTTTTGAATATTTAGTTTTGGAATTTTTTTTAAAAAATTCTGAAACGAAATTCTAAGCAAATGTGATGAAGTACAAAACCAAAACATCCTACAAGATCGAAGGTACTAAAAATGAATAAAAGGAATATGTTACTACCACTGGCGTTTATTTTATTTTTTTTATTTTTTGGTGACCTAAATAAGTGTAACATCAATCAAAAAAATCTAAAATTGGACTTTAGAAATGATCAACTAGATTTTTAATCATGGCCGGCCTTAATTAATATTCGAAAGTAACATATATATTTTTTATTTAATATCATTATTAAATTTTTTGGAATATATATTGCATATATATAGATTATGATATTTTATTAAATTGGGAGTTTTGTGGTGCTTTTTATTTTAGACGAGAATATTCTTTAATTACATACGATGATCTGGACTCAACTTTATATCGTGTGTTCAACTTTGTTTTCAAGTTGTCATTATGGTGATTATTAATTTCTGTTAACATTCTGTGGTTAAAGCATAATTATATTACCAGGGTAGACTATAATATTAGATAATAACGATATTAACCTTGCAGGATTAGTAGTTATGAATAAAGCATTAAGGCTAATACTATTTATTTTGCAAAAATATTTAATCTTCCGTGGTACATATCACGAATAAGAAGAAACTTTTGTATTGTAAATTAAGCATTGTGGAGAAATAATTCGCGATTCAATTTGACCTTTGCAATCTTTTTTTAAAGTTTAAATATCACATTAATCATAATTTGTTTATTATTGATCGCGACAATGTTCTGTAAATAATTTTGGCTTATTACACATGATACTATAATTAACCATAGTGCTATTAGGTTGTAATTTGATTACACCAAAGATTTATGTATTGTAAAGAAATATTTTTTAGGTTCGATCGGTTCACCCACTTTGTCTAAGAACCGGACGGAACCTTCGAACGGAACCAATGGTTCGTCACCGTGACGAAGGTAAGCCATCGTTGATTTTTTTCTTGTTTTTCTTTTAGTTTATATTATTTTATTTATTTATATTTTTTTTTTTAATACTTTATTTATTCTTTTTTTTAGGTCCAATCAGTTCCTCCACTTAGGCTAAGAACCGGACTGAACCATCGAATGAAATCATCTGGTTTGTCACTGAGGCGAAGGTAAGCTGTGTATTTATCTTATTTTTTTTTAAGGTTTGATCGGTTCCTTCACTTAGTCTAGGAACCTTTAAACGGAACCGTCCAGTTCGTCACTGAGGCGAAGGTAAGCCATTAATTTTATTTTATTTATTTAGTTTATATTTATTTTTATTTATTTATATATTTTTTTTTTAATATTTTATTTATTCTTTTATTTTTTTAGATTTGGTTCTTCCACTTAGCTAGGAACCTTTGAATGGAACTGACCGGTTTGTCACACTGAGTAAAGGTAAGCTGACTAATTTTAATTAAATAATTTCTTTTTTTTAAAAATTAATTTTTATTCTTATATATATATTTATTATTTTTTTCTTTACTTATTTTGATAATTAATTTGATTACTAATTTTATTTATTTTATATTATTTATTTGTTTTAGGCAGCTTTAGGTTGGACCGTCAGTGATTTTTTTTATTTTTTCTTAGGTTAGATGAAACAGGATTTTCGTTACCGCAGTATATGTTTTTGACGAATTCTTTCATTATTTTAATTAGTAATCGTAATCATTCAGTCCCAATTTTTTTTTTTTAAAAAAATCATATATAAACAACCGTTATTCCTATCAATATTAATATCAATATTGAAATTGATATTGATATTGATATCAATATAAATAAAAACGGTCCCTATAGTTCCTGCATGAAGCTAACCAAATTCCTTCCTTTTTGGGAATAGCCATAGCTTTCACTATATAAAGTAGAATCACCTGATACCAACATCTATATGGCATAAACTGTATATAGTGTTAAGTAGCTGCAAAAAATAATTATATTAAGGAAATGTATAATTTAGCTTTTTGTTATAAATATGGTGAAAGAACTGATATTGATTTAGAAAAAGCATTTTATTGGTATAAAAAATCTGTAAAAAATGAAAATATTAATGCAATATTTAATTAAGCTTTATGCTATAAAAATAGTAAAAGAACTGATATAGATTTAGAAAAGGCATTTTATTGATATCAAAATCTGCAAAAAATAATAACAAAGTTGCACAATATAATTTAGATAATTATTATTATTATGGAATATTTATTATAAAAGATATTAATAAATTATTTGATAGTATAGAAAATCAGAATTATAATAAAGCATTAAATGATTTAGGATATTTTTATGAAAAAGGTATAAATGTAGAAAAAATTTAGAAAAAGTATTTTATTAGTATCAAAAATCAGCAAAAAATGGAAATTATATTGTTTAATATAATTTAGCTATTTGTTATCTATATGGTTTATGTATTTAAAAATATAAATAAAGTATTTAGCTTGTATAAAAAAATAAAAATGAATTTGTACAATATAATTTAAGATTTTATTATGAAAAAGGTATTTTTATTAAAAAAGATTTAAAAAAAAAGCATTTAATTGGTATCAAAAATCAGCAAAAATTAAAAAAAATATGCTCAATTTAATATAATTAAATGTTATATAAATAGAATAGAAATTAATAAAGATTTAAATAAAACATATGAATAGCATTAAAATTTATAAATAATAAGAATAAATTTAAATAGGAGTTTTAGAAAATATGAAGGTAATGTTCAAAATATTAATCAAAATAATAATGCTAATGAATTTATTAATAAAATCTTAAAATATCAGTTAAATTTATATCCTTTAATGAGTTTACTGATTTTAAACTACTTAATATATATGGTTTTGAAAGTATTATAGAAAATTTTTAAAGCATACTAGCTACCACAAAACTGACACTGGATTCCGATTCTCCTCGGTGCGGCGATTCCAACAAGCTAAATTTCG